TATGAATTGCTGGCTTTACACATTCCAGATTTCTCTGATTTCTCCCCTTCCCCCACCCATTGGAGAGCTAATTTGTAATTCTGCAGTGTACCCTTCTTTACATATGTGCCAAATGTGAAGTTTTAAATGAAAGTAATTTTTTGAATTACCTACATTCACAGATAATCTGAAAATATCTTTGATGAAAACTACTGGATTCTCAATGGTCCAGTGCAGTAGTTTCTAGGTAGCCCTTGCAGTTCATGAGATATTGGATTTTAAAATGATCACTCATCCCTCAGACTGGCACTGTAGTTTTGGCACTGCTCCAAAATTGAATATAGCAAGTCCTGGAGTATGGAGTAATGTAATTTTCAACCTCTTATCCAACATATTTGGGTCTATGTTTGATAGCAGTGAAGGGATTAAAACAGCTTAACCAACAGAAAACATGGAGAAGCTGTTGTTTAACCAAAGAGAAAAAAAGAAAGAAATTTCCTTGAAATAATTAAATACTGTCTAAAATATTTAGTCATAGGTCCATATTGCTCCAGATGGATTCAGGATGAATAACAGTACATTATATATTGGAAATATATTTCTAAAAAGTTGCAGTGCATTGTTCTTCATTTAAAAAAAAAAGTGCCCAGAATCTCCAACATCTGCAAAAGAATCTCCTTGCTATGCGTGTGTCTAAAAATTAAACAATAATAGTTAAAACAGGCTATACTATCACTTATTTTTATTATTTTTATCACTAGTGTTCATTCTACTGCCCTCATAAACTGGATAGATATTAGAAACAGGTGTATATCCATGAAAGGGAATTGAAATTTACTGATTTCCTGGATTATGCTATTTCAGTCAAATCCTTCATTCATAAGTCAATTGCTGAAAATAAAAAGAGGAGTTCATGAATTGTTCAAGAACTGTCAAAAATCAGTTGTTCGACTGAAGAGTTGATATGGGACCATGCAACCTTTCATCTCTACGCCACCAATTCAAATCCAGCCAAGATCAGCAATGACCAAATTACATCAGTTTGTACACTCAAGCCAGTAGCTAAAGGACAAGTAGCCAAATCACATAATTCAGTGGGACAATGCTGTGTTGGAAGTTGTGAAATTTAAAGTCTCGTTTATCCACCAAACTGCATAAATGGCACGTAGGAGCTAATTTTCTAACCTTTCACTAAACGTAATGCAAATTATACACCCAGTACTTCTTTCATGTTAATAAAATAAAGCTTTTCAAATATCAGCTCATACTAATAACATACCTCTCTGAAAATAAACCTTTGTGGGTTATCCTGGTCTTTGTTAACAATGGCTGAGCTGTGTGAATTACTGGACAATGATTAGGAAACATCTCTCAATAGGGTTTAGTAGTATAATGGATGAGTCCTTTGGCTAGGAAACTTTAAAGAAAGACTTTGCTTTTCCTTAGCCTAGTGACTACTGCCTTCTACTGCTATGCGTGATTAGTTAGGAATTGGACTTCCATGAAGCCAGCAGCAGCGAAGAGGTGCTTTTAGTACTGCATGGTGGAGTATGTTGTTTCTTGCATTTCTTGTAACCTGTGTTATTCAGAATATACTTGTCATGGAGAGATGAATGTGATAAGCTGGGGTACTTGAAATACTTATTGTAAATATGTGTGACTAAAGAAAAGGCATCTTCATATGACTTGGGTGACAGTCTACAAAACTGTCTCTAAGACAAAAAGTGTAGGTATCAACCCTACCTTCCTCATGGCGGGAGATAGGTGATATTCAGGGAATCATCTGTGCCAAAGATTTTGCCCCCTTGACCTGCAGCAATTTTGGTCTACTGTCTTTCAGGGTATACCCCATCCCTAGGCTTCAAAGCCAAAGCCATAATGTCTAGACAGCAATGTTTTGCAGCACAAGCCTGAGTCTGCCAACCAAGACTCTCTGCGTAGATGTACTCTTAGGCACTGCAACTGTTTAAAAAAAGTTTGCAAAATTTTTTAACATGCAATCTTAATATAGTTGTAGCTACTGCTCCAGCTATGTTTGGTTTGTGAGAACTGTGTTAAAGCAGTCAATTATAACGGATTGTGGTCAAACCGTGGCAAAGTCTAGAACTAGCTGCAGTTCTTCAACACCTGCCAAAGCTTTCCTTCTAATATATATTTCCAGCAACTCAATTAAAGTAGAAAACCACACTTGAACTTCATGTTTAAAAACAGATGGTTGTTAAGAGTTTGTGAATTACCTTCATGAATTGTCTTTATGCAAATAAGGGACAGATGTTAATTGGAGAGCTGCTTGAAATATTGTAAGGGGTTAGCCAGTTATGTTTTTGTTGAATAGGGTTAATAAAAAAATTAATACCCTCTCCTACAGTCTATTATATAAACTTAATTATGAGTCAACAAAGGGTTAATGAATCTAGCCTATAGTTGTTTTACACAGAGGAAAAACAGATTGTGATGGGCCAATGGAGACTGAAGGTAAAACTGATTTAAGTGGGAATCAGGTGCCAAAGAACTTTTGAAAATCACATTAGATGCCTTTTTTGCATCTTTAGGCATCTAAATACCTTTAAAAATTTGGCCCTTAGGAGCCTAAATCCCACTGACTTTCAATGAGATTAAAGAGCCTAGTTCCTTTTGAAAATGAGACTTAAGTACTTTGGAAAATAGTGCCCACAGACTTGATTCAATAAACTTTTATTGACTCAGCTACATTTTTACAAGTGGGAGGAGCTTTTCCTTAACCCTCTTCAATAGAAAGATCATTTGTTTTTCAATTAGCATTCATCTCTGAAAATATTTCAAACAGTTCTCCAGTTAACATGTGCCCTTTATTTGATTGCAAGGGGGCTACTTGCAGAGTAAAGTACTAATCATTAAGAGTATGTATAGCAGAAACAAGCCCTGTGTTGGAAAAGATATAACATTTTCTGGAAAGATAAGAGGTTCAAAGCTTTTACACTTCTCATGCCTGCAGATGTAAGGACTGAATCTGAGATCCAAAGGCAGAAAGAGTTGCGGTTCAGTCTTTATCTATACCCCACTTGAGCTTAAATCCTTATTGCAGGAAGGAAGTCAAATTTTCCTGCTGAGTGGAGATTTTTTTCCCCGTGTGACAGCTGGCCAGCATGCATACCTCTATTACATACAAACTTTTTTCTCTTTTCATCTGTATATAGTAGATTTGCATTCCCTGTAACAGCAAAGGAAGAAGCCCATAGAACTGGATTTGGAGCACAGCACTGGGGAAATGTTGCTGAGTGGTTAACATTTTGCCTGTTTGTAGGAGAGAACACCACAGTGAGATGGAAATGAAAGGCCAAGACTTTATACCCCATATAGCAGGGAAGAGCTAAATCCTGTGGCAAGATCCATTGGTTTCTTTGGCAGTCTGGAAATAAGTGGCACTTAAAGTCAACAATGGAGATTTTTACCAAATTAAATATGTAATTAATTCAATTATATTAATAGAAATAGTATAATATAGTGAGCTATTTTTTATGTATTGCGTATACTTTCCCCTCCATTTTTAACATGTCAGTCTTTTGTGTTAGCAATGCAAAAGTGCATCATACGAATTATCAGGGGAAGCTGATGGTTTTGTTAGCTGGGTGGAAAGCAATGAAAAAGGCTTGGAAACTGGTTTGGGAATATGGAATATATACATTAGAGGAATATTTTTGCTAAAGTGATCAGCAGTGAAATAATTAATACTGACATTTAAGTGGTTATCTTTAGATTCCAGAGTTAGCAACCCATGGAGGCAAATGGTGAAAATTCATATCCCGAGAAACTATTGTTTCTGGCTTCTTGTAGACTCAGGAAGTCAATATGGCAATAGTTTCCAGTTACATGTTGAAGATTTCCTCCTCAGTTGTGAGCACTTTCCAGCACCTTATGTTGTCATTTATCTCAGTGCAAAGTGAGTGCATAGAAGGCATAAAATGCTACCAGATCCGAATTGTAACATTTTATGTACCCTTTGCATTGGGAAAAATGAATACACAAGGGACAGGGCAGTGGCAAATCAGGCCCTAATTTTTATTATACAATGTAAGATCAGATTCTGGGGCTCAGTTCTCTATGGCACGTTCCAAGGCAGTGAATCGTGCTGAGAAAATCAGGATGTGGACTCACATAAAACAGGATGTGCCTTTAACACTGACATTGTGAAAACCCAGCCTACAAAAAGGTTACAGTACAAAGACATCCTTCAGAGATGGCTGTTGTGCTGTGTGGAACACCCAGACTGTTTATCACAGAGCTAACTCTGGAGTTAAAACACCTGAGTATATCTTTTGGGCCAGATACTGGCCCTGACGCCATCTCCTTTGTGCTGCTCTGTTATCCTGAAGCCTCACACAGCCCAGAGTTAGGCACCAAGTAGAGCTCCGCCAGATTGTGGATAAGGCTCTCTACATACCAAGGTTAACCGTTTCTGCCTGAAAAATATTCTCTCCAGACTCAGTACTCAATCCCTAGCCAAGACATCAAGTCCCCGCATCACAAAGATAAATTAGATTGAATTTAGATATTAAAGAATTCAATGAAAGTCATACTAGTGGCAGTTAACTTTTAGAATTAAGCAACCATGAAAGTCCTCTGGAGGAGTGTACTTCTAGATTTATCTCCCGTCACACTAACTCACTCCCACTCATAGCTCTGTAGTGCCTTCCTGCTTTTTACCACATTCAGTACAAACTCTGTGTCCTCATTCTCAATTTCGCTCCAATCCAAATCTTTGCTCTCATTTCCTCCTACTTTCTCTCTTGTTCCCTACATCCTTTCCAGTTGTGGCTCCTGTCTGGGGTCCTTATTTCCCCATGTTCTATTCTTTCCTATCTCTCCTTACAACCTCTTACTTCTTCTACCTTCCTTCTATATCCTCCAGTTCCTGACTAAATCCCACATATTTTGTGAAGCCTTCCACCATATCTTTCCCTCACTATTCCATGTCTACATTATATTCCTGTGCATTGTAATAATTCCTAGATTACTGTCATTCATCTTTTTCTTTTATGCAGTCTGACTCCATCCAGGGACAGTCCTCCCTAATGGTTATGGTCAATGCTGATGGGAACAGCTTAGAAGGTAACAGCTTAAGGTTATGATTATGCTCTCACACTGCTTTTATACTTGTATAAATCCATTCTAGTCAGTGAAGCTACTCCTTATTTACACATGTGCAGGAGGAATCAGAAGTGTTTTGAATAACACACTAAAAACTCAGTTAATATTATAAAAACACATGCCCATTTGCATGTAAATAGCTTACCACTAGGTAAGGTTTGCATTTATGAGAAGCAAGGAACAAAACTGCTATACATATAAAGAAATGTAAAATCTGATTTATTTTATTACAGCAGGTTAATAATAGAAAGAATATTTCCTGCTACTCAATAAATAAGCAGGAAAAAGGAGTCTAGATCTAGTCCCAGGTCATATAAAACATAATTTAAAGACTATCAATATGTTGTGGGAGCCGGAGGTAGTGACACAAACCTGACTTACATTAAGCAGGCACTAGGCATCTGAGCTGCATAAAGGGCCCCCTGATAATCAATGACAAAAGAGTAATCTCAATGGGGTTTTCATTACACACTAAGACGGCTCCAGCACACTCTGCTTATCCAGTCATTCATCTCTGCCAGCAAGAGGTGGCTTTGGAAAATTAAGAGCGTCTGAAGTTATATCATATTGTCAGAAAATATTGCATTATTTTGTATTTTTAAAGGATAAAACTAAAAGCTGGTTAGAACAATTCTGAAATGTATTGAAGACCAAATCATGTTTAATTTGGATCATCATTAAACCATGCATCACATCAGCAATTTCAATATCTCTCTACTAGTTAAAAAAATTCTTTTAGGTCTAGCTGTTTGCCCCTCCATCTACAGAGGAAAAACCCTGGAGGGGCAGAAGTAGGAATTTCTATGTAGTTCATTTGGCAGAATTCTTGATTCAGGATATCCTTTGAGGGTAACCATTTCTTGGTTCAGATATGGAACATAGCTTACAAATATTGTGAGCCTGAAAATCCACAGTGCAATCTCAACTGGTCATAGTGCTGCTGTGGAAAGAGATAGATCTTCTGTGCAGCTCCATTGATGCCTCTGTTCTCCAGACCTAGTACATCTCTCTCTGCTTTGGATATGCATAACTATACTTCCCATTCTGATGAGGGTAGGTGCTGTGGAAGGAAGTTAATACAGCTGCTGTTTCCTATTTGAAGGGAACGTGCCATGTATGCTGCTCCCTGGTCCCATTCCCATCTCATGATCACAGCCTAACACTATGCAGTTTTTATATAATGCTTTTCATCTGTAAATTGCAGATTTTAAAAAGTATGGTAAGTACTATGATGCTCATGTTGAATATGAATAAATTGAGGCACAATAAGATAAAGCACCATCCTTAAGGTCCCACAGGAGCACAGTGGCAGAGTTGAGAGTAGAAACCAGATTTCCCTGGGGTTGCCACTTGTCCAGGTTTTCCCAGGATCAGTCCCTTTTCTGAGGTAGCTGTCCTGGGAAATCTGTAAGGGTGCGCAGTACACACTGCCAGTTGTCCAATTTTATGGGCTCAGGATCATACTGGGTATCCTTGTTTTTTGTACCACAGAGGCAGCAGCCACAGATCTAACTGTCATTTGAATGACCTATCTGTTGGAACCCTATACACCTTCCATTGGACAGAATACTGTTAATTTGTAGGCTGTTCTATGGACTTCCAAGATGGTGGCAAGAGCATATAACAGGGCCATTGATCTCCCTTCTGCCATTTTTCAGACTTTTTATTTCTTTTTTCTCTACTTTACTCTCTTTCTCCATCCATAGTTCATAGATTCATGAATTTAAAGGGACAAGATGGGTGAGGTAATATCTTTTGTTGGATCAACTTCTGTTGGTGAGAGAGTCAAGCTTTCAACCTAATACAGCGTTTTTCTTCAGGGACTATTTTTGTCCTCTAATCCAACCTTCTGTATAACTAGAGTTCCATGTTCTCAGTTTTTACCAATTTTCACCAATACTTTTTCGGGGGGGGGGTGTTTATTAAAGAAGTTCAGTTTTTACTGATTTACACCCGTTTATCAATCCATTGAATATTTTTTTCAGGTACTCATTTTTGTTAAACACTAATGCTTTATGCATTGTTGTGTCATGCAGCTCTGAGACTGAAGCAGTTCCACAGTGTAAAAAATAGAACACACAGACACGGTGAAGATTGGAAAATCAAACAATGTTAATATTACAAAAGGAGACAATGCTCATTTCTTTGACTCTCTTTAGTGTGGAACTGAATTTAAACAATCAATCCTCCACAGATATAGCTAGAATAAAGATCTAAACATGGGGCAGAAATGCAAATCTATGCCTGAATACTAACAAGAAAATCAGTGCTTAAAAATATTCAAGAAAAACAAAGATAGAAGTGAAGAGGATGCAGTACGCTGCAAGTACTGCAGTATTGAGGTCAGTGCTCACACTGACAGAATAAAGGAGCATGTCACAAGCAAACGATATAAGAAGCTTAAAGAAGAAAGTGAGCTTTGGGATAAACAGTCAGTATCAGGAGCTTTCACCAGGACTTTAATGAAAGAGAAGACACAGCATGATTGTGTCAATGCATGTTCTTTGTTTTGCAAGACAACCACTGTTAATAGCAGCAGGGCCTATTGGTGACCTTGTGCGACAATACTGTCAAGCAGCAAAAACCCTTCCTAATGCAGACAGCCCAGCTCATAAGTATCCACAAGAAAATGATGATGTTTTGGTATCTAAACTGATGGAACAAATTGATAGAAATGTGGTGTCTAGTCTGATTTTTGGCAAGTCTACTGATGTTTTGTACCATCCAATTCCTGGCCTTTTGTTTTTGTTTCTTGATTTCAAAGTGAATAAACCCACATTGTTTTATGCTGATGTGACAGTCATACCCTCTGCTGACACCTGTTTTGTTGATGCAGTAATAACAGACATGTTTGAGATGTACCAACTAACTTTGAAAAATGTGGCCACAACTAACACAGATTCTGCTTCCTACCTACATGGCTAAGTTTGCACAGAAGATTAAATTCAATCAGAAACCAGAGCTGCTACGTATTACCTTCTACTGTTCATCTGATTAACGTTGCGTTTGTCAGCAGCTACTGCTATCGAAGAAATGAAAGACATGAAATCTTGCACCACTGAATTTGGGGCTGTTTTCAAGCATGTGAACAAGTTGAAGGCTTTGTTTTACACAGTGCAAGATGAGTGAAGAGCAGACTGCCAATTACCTACCCTTGTTGTGCCACATCGGTAGACGATCTTCTACTTTGCTGCCTGTCATGTAGATAATGCATGGATTGTGCTAATGTGTCTCCTAGATCATTCTGCGTTTGTTGGTTCTGAAGCAGAAACTTTGAAGAGTCTGGTAAATAGCCAAAATGACCGCCAGATTCTGTGCACCAATGTAATGTTCACTGTTGAAAACTTGGAATCCCCATGTGACACACAAAAAAACACTGGAGTTTTCTCTGACTACTGCCAACATGTTTTTCAGTACAGACATTTACTAGATCCTGACAATCAAAATCTCATCTGAAATGAGCACAGAAGCTGCACGAGAAACATACAGTGAGAAAACCCAACTGTTTCTGAAATCGTTCCAACCCAGGAACACGAGAAAACCAAAAAACATTCAAAACCTTCAACACAATGCTCTACAAGAAATGGGAGACAGCTGTGACCTGTAATCTGAACCCCAAAGTGTTTGGTGCTGAAGATGCTGACATTTTGGAATGTCATCTAGGTGTTGCACCCATTCCTCAAGGTGAATTTTGCAGTGTACTATGACTGTTATACCAGAGTGTTTCAACCAGTTACCACTAAGATTAAATTTCAAATCTGAAAGGGGATTTTACTACGTACATGAACATGCCTAACCCTGACAATGTGAAACTCAGTGTGGTGGCCTTTTGGAACAGTCATCAAGACACACTTCTCAACTTCAGCAGACTGGCATGGTGAGCTTTGAATGCACTAATTTGCGCAGTTGGAATATCTCCAAGACAGCAAGAGGCTTAACATGAGTGAGGATACTTTGAAGAAAATTATGTGACTGTGCACAAACCAGGATTTTTAGAAAAAATTACTAGTGTTGAGGGAGACAAAATATACATTTGTACATGAAAAAAATAATTATATGGTAGTAAAATATGTATAATATGAAAGGGGTTTATTTGTTCTTCTTTTTAGCCCAGTTTTAATGTTTGGAAAATAAGTACTAAAAAATTCCACGATTATTTTTTTACAAATAATAACTGAAAACATGGTATACTATGTATAACATAGGCAATAGAATTTTATACTGTATTTTCTTCATCGAGCCCATAAATTCATTTTGAACTATAGCATGTCTTTTAAAAAAAATCCAGTCTTGATTTAAAGACTTCAGGTGATGGAGAAACTACCATATCATGAGGGAAGTTGCTTTAATGGTTGATTTCCCTTACTATTAAAAACGTGCACCTTATTTCCAGTTTGAATTTGTCTAGCTTCAACTTCCCGCCATTAGATAAATAGTTATATGACTATTCTTGAATACAGATTGTTACTTAAACAACATTTACCATAATATAGAGGAAAACATTAGATATAATTTATTCTTTGGTAATACTTAGATGTGATTCTTTTTTTTCCCCTAGTAATGAGTGGAAGTTGGATTTTTTTTGCAATGCTATACTTGAAAAATCACTTTGCATCTGCTTAAACCCACAAGAAGTGCACTTTGCGTTATCTGACATTTTTATGGCAAAGTACTGTGACTGAAACCTCCAAGGTATTAGTTATTATTGGTTACTTAAAATATTTCGGCAAATTTTATTGCTTCATCTTGTATTCACTGAAATAACATTAGTAATGATTAAATCTTTTGAAGTTTATACAGACAGAATACATTTGTATTATGAGAATCTAAGACGTTGGGACACAGATTTAGGGGCCTCAAACACATTCAGTGTTTGATGGGAAACTATAATGTAAAGAAATAATATTATGAAGGTAGACCATGTCCCATCTGCCCTTAAATTATTCTGTCCACCATATGGAATTCTGAAAGAATTTACTTTCCAATTTAATTAGTGTATTCCCAGTACCACCACATTTTACTAAAGAGAGAACCCAGTCCCATGCCCACTGAAACCAATGGGAATGTGACCGTGGAATCCCACAGATGCAGGGTTTGCCCACCCTCTACAGACTCTCATTATTTTTTCTTTCTCAAATTATTTTAAGATATGGTTCTTGGTAATGCGGTTCATGTTTGATGGTTTTTTCCCTGCCTGTTGGGATTAGTTTGCTTTTGCTATTTTCTGGACTGGAGTTTCTGTTTAAATGTCAGTCCATGTACATTTGCCTATTATTTTGAGAGGTCAGAAAAAATGGCAAGACTCAACCATTCAATTAATAATAAAAAAAGAAAATGTTGGGAGACTTGATGATGACCCCCATAATGACACGACTTCATTTGACTTTTTAATATTATATTATGTTTGCTTTCATGCTATGGACTTTAAATAAATCTCTCTTCCCACTCACACTTTTCTTATGCACCTTTATTATATGTTAAAGAGTTGTGGTTGGACTGCGTTTTACACACACATGCATGTGTACAGACACATGTTTTTGTCTATTTATCATTTTATTATAATAGCATCTGTAATGGCCTGAGCAATTTGGCAGAGATTAGGACTAAAACATATTCTTCTTATTTAAATGTCTGACATACATACTATGAAAACAACAGGTCAAATTCCTGGTGTAACTTCAGTGTTGTTAATGGAGTTATGCAAAGGATAAGTTTGCCCCCACAAGTTGTTCTCACATAAGTTATGTAATTATACTAATCAAATTAACTTTCAAACAACATTTTGCTTTCAGCGGAAATGTGAAACAATTGCTCTCAACGAGTTGCTGTACACTCACCCAGAACGACTCCCAGACATACGATGATGGCAGCCCCTTCTCTCATTCCTTTCCTACCTTCTCAAAAGAAAATGGGCAGGTACATCACTGAAAATAGTCATTTGGCCTCCCATTGTATGTTTTTCCCAACTGATTGTCTCCACTGTCCCTTCGTAACCCATTTATCTTGTTGTGGCCATCTTTTAGATCACAGTGCTTTATGGAATACTTTGCCATCTCAATTAATTGTACACAAGTTGACTAAACAGATACACCTAGCTTACAGCAGACCTTCTGCGGCAGAGCAGTTTCTAACTTATGCCCTGCTTCTCTCCTTTTCTTTTTGCGAATACAGACTAACCACGGCTGTTCCTCTGAAACATGTATATGATTATGGAAAGACTGGAGTAAACACAAGTATTTACTGTGGCAATGCCTGCATCACTAGATAGAAATACACATCTTCTCAGACTTGCACAATGCCTAATACAAGCACAACATTTAACTTATATTAATTGCCAGTCCACAGAAACAGTAATATTCAAGCTATCGATTTTATGACATAGCTTAAGGGAAAAAAAGTTGCCATATATCATTCCACCCAAAATACAAAGGTCAAATGATATTAATTAATGCAGCTACATAATCCACTGGAGCTAAATGGGTATTCTGAAATAGCTCCATGATTGAGAACTAATGCCTCATTAATCTTAAACATATCAACCTGAGAACATCAGTAAAGTCAAACAGAATAATGACTGGCATTACATCGAACACAACTTACCACTTGCAGCAATACATTTGTATGTTAGAAACTCTTCAGAAATGCCCTGTGACCTGACTATAACAAAATGGAATAGGGGGAGAAAGCTGCATGTATGCTACACTGACACATACATACTTCATGTATATTGTGCAGAAAGGCATGCAACGCTTTCTTGTGTTTATAGTTACATACTGTAACTATGCAAGGAAGGAAAACCTGATGAATTTATACAAATACAAGGAGAGTACAACAAGATGCCCTTCTAGCTATCTATCAGTGCAACCCTATGGTTAGTTATCTTGTGTACAAGAAGGAAGAGAAGCAGACTGGCAACAGAGACACTCGTTCAACATCTTGGGAATGAAGTGTAGTGCATTCATTTCAATTTAGAAAGGACTGCCCTCTTAGACTTATGAGTGCACCTAGCAAGGTAGAAGAATAGCAACCAGGTACAGCAAAAATATTGTTTAGCCAGGATCTGTGGCAGTCACAGAATGTTTATCTGTAGCTGGCAGCAAATTAAGACATTCAGCTCTACAAAAGATTATTTAATTGCAGTTCTTTTACTTGAGCATGTGGCTGTGAACAGAAATTACTTATTGATTACCCCTCAACTTAGAACCATTTGGGGCACTTCAGTATACACCACGGGTGGGCAAACTACAGCCCATGGGCTGGATCTAAACCAGCTCTTGACCTCCTGCTGGGGAGTGGGGTCTGGGGCTTGCCTTGCTCTGGTGCTCGGGTGCTCCAGCCGGTGAGCAGGGTTGGCAGCTGCTCCACATGGCTCCTGGAAACAACTGCATGGCCCTGCTCCGGCACTCCAACAGGGGCACAGGGTTGGGGGCTGCTCCATGTGACTCCTGGAAGCCATGGCATGGCCCCCCTCCGATGCTCCAGACAAGGAGCAGAGTCATGGACTGCTCCACGCAGCCCCTGGAAGCAGCAGCATGGCCCCCCTCCGGCGCTCCAATGGGAGCTGCAGGGGCGGTGCCTGTGGAGGGGGCAGTGTGCAGAGCCGCCTGGCCACACCTCCATGTAGGAGCTGGAGAAGGGACATGCCGCTGTTTCCGGGAGCCTCTTGAGGTAAGCACCGCCTGGAGCCTCTCCCCATGCCCCAACCCCCTGCCCCAGTCCTGATCCCCTCCTGCCCTCTGAACCCCTTGACCCCAGCCTGGAGCACCCTCCTGCACCCCAAACCCCAAACCCCTGATACCTAGCCCCAACCGACAGCCTGCACCCCCAGCTGGTGCCTGCACCCCTTCCCACACCCCACTCCCCTGCCCTAACCTGGAGACTCCTCCCACACCCTGAACTCCTAATTTCTGGCCCCACCCCAGAGCACGCACCCCCAAGCAGAGCCCTCACCCACTCCCACACCCCAACCCCAATTTTCTGAGCATTCATGGTCTGCCATACAATTTCTATTCCCAGTTGTGGCCCTCAGGCCAAAAAGTTTGCCCATCCCTGGTATATACTCTATGTAGTCTTTTCACCCTGGTCACAATCCAAACACCATTGGCATCAATAGCAAGACTCATGTCGACTTCAGTGGTTAGGGTCAGTTCTCTGAAAAGGGCTAAAGAGTTAGGAGGCAATTTCACAGCTTTAATGGTCAGGTTATATGTGATGCCAAATATTGAAAACAAATATTCATATAATGGCTGCCAGACTGGAGACTAAACCAGAGACCTCTCTAATTGAGATCATGAATCTCAACAGCTTGAGCTAAAAAGCAGATGACTGAACTTGGGGGCTAACAGATCACATCTTCTGTGGATCAGACAAAGAGGTGGTCACAATACACACTGACCAGTGGGCTATACTTGCACGAGGTATACTGATGTCCAGCTATGGCATAAACATTTTGCAAAAGACATAGCTCAGGACATTAGAGACACAAGGTGGCTGAGGTAATATCTTTTATTGGACCAACTTAAGTTAGTGAGAGAGACAATTTTAGAGCTTACAATTTTAGAGCTCTTCTTTGGCTCTGGGAGACTTACTCAGAGTGCCACAAGTAAATACAAGATGGAACAGATCATTTAGCATAAGTAGTTAACACATTTCAAGAGGTTTCAGAGTGGTAGCCATGGTAGTCTGGATCAGCAAAAAAAACGAGGAGTACTTGTGGCACCTTAGAGACTAACAAATGTATTTGGGCATAAACCCATGAAAGCTGCACATTGAACAGATGTTTTCAGAGAACTACCCACAGTGACTCCAAGCTCTCTTTCTTGAGTGGTAACAGCTAATTTAGAGACCATCATTTTGTATGTATAGTTGGGATTATGTTTTCCAATATGCATTACTTGTATTTATCAACACTGAATTTCAGCTGCTATTTGTTGTCCATGAGATCAGTTTCATGAGATCCCTTAGTGACTCATCACAGTTGGCTTTGGACTGAACTCTTTTGCGTAATTTTGTATTATCTGCAAACTTTGCCACCTCATTGTTCACCTCCTTTTCCACATCATTTATGAATATGTTGAGCAGCACTGGTCCTAGTCAAGATCCTTGGAGGACCCCACTATTTACCTCTCTCTACTCTGAAAACTGACTATTTATTCCTACCGTTTGTTGCCTGTCAACCAGCTACTGATCCATGAAAGAAACTTCCTCTTTATCCTGGGACTGCTTACTTTGCTTAAGAGCATTTGTCAAAGGCTTTCTGAAAGTCCAAGTCCACAATATCCACTGGCTCTCCCTTGTCCACATGTTGCTTGACTCCCTCAAGTAATTCTAATAGAGTGATGAGGAATGATTTCCCTTTATACAAGCCATATTCACTCTTTCCCCACATATCATATTTATATATGTGTCAGATAATTCTGTTCTTTACTATAGTTTCAACCAATTTGCCTGGTACTGAAATTGGTCTTAGCAGCCTATAATTGCCAAAATTGCCTCTGGAGGCTTTTTTTTTTTTAAATCACCATTCCATTGGCTATCCTACAGCCTTCTAGTACAGAGGTTAACTTAAGTGATAACTTATACATCAAAGTTATTTCTGAAATTTCATATTTGAGTTCCAACAGAATTCAATTTTAGTTTAAACCCCCCCCCAAGCTATTCTGTTGTTCAAGCAAGAAAGTCATGTTACCTAGTGAATTTATTTTATACAAACAGACTGTTTTCATTCCTTCCCTGAAGATCATGAATTGTTGTAGCAAGCAAGGATATGAGTGCTTCCAGAGGTTTTAAGCAGCTTTTGATGCCAAAGGTGAGTTCACTGTTTACCTGGTCACCATAGAAACATGAGTGTTCTCTAGTGAGAGTGTCACATATATCATTATTTAACACTAATTTAATCTCCATTTAGCATTAAATAAAACTGCTGGAGTTTTATTTAATGGAGAATTGTGAAATTGCAGCAAAATAACTATTGAGTAAAAGATTAACCATGAAGGGGTGCAGTGTTTTACAAGAGAAGAGACAAACTTCTGATACATCAGTGTAATATGCATTCGATGAAGTGAGCTGTAGCTCACGAAAGCTTATGCTCAAATAAATTGGTTAGTCTCTAAGGTGCCACAAGTCCTCCTTTTCTTTTTGTAATACTGGTTGTCATAAATATAAAGGGAAGGGTAAACCCCTTTGAAATCCCTCCTGGCCAGGGGAAAGCTCCTCTCACCTGTAAAGGGTTAAGAAGCTAAAGGTAACCTCGCTGGCACCTGACCAAAATGACCAATGAGGAGACAAGATACTTTCAAAAGCTGGGAGGAGGGAGACAAACAAAGGGTCAGTGTCTGTCTGTGTGTGCTCTTGCCAGAGACAGAACAGGAATGGAGTC